TGACGATATATATATATCCACGTGGCGGTGTTAATGTGGGACTTGTCATCCGGGTTCTTTTTTTATCCTTTTGGCATCCTAGTTGGCTGGTTCCCGCTGTTCGGCCTATTGAAGGAGCGGGGGCGGTGCTTTTAGGTAGGAATTGTCATCTGGGATTGTCTTTGTATTTTTTGCCGTTGGTGGTGTCGCAGTATTTCAGTTTAGACCAGCAAAGCATGCATCGAAACCATGATAGGGTGTCTATGCTGGCGAGCACGAATGGTTTGTTATCTGGGATTGCTTTTTTTGCAGGCAAGGGTGTTGATTGATATCCTGGTTGGTCATTGTCCCGTCATTTGGCCTGTGATGTAGGGGGCGGTGCTTGCATGTGGGACTTGTCATCTAGGATCTGTTATGTTTGTTTCCCCCTGTTTTGTTACATTTGGCTGTTCTCTTCCTCTTTTCTTTGCCTCTTTGCCTTTTGGCTGTGTGCAAGTGGGTCGATATGACACACGGGGGTGGGGGCAGCCGCTGCTCAACCACATCCACGTGGGCGGGCTTGTACGCAAGAGGTTCTGAACAGGGGGAGTTGTAAGGAAGAAGATTAAAAATGAATTCATTTTTCTTTGTTTTCTTTCTGTTTTCCTTTCGCTTTTGCGCTCTGACAACTGACATGGTTTCTGCATCCATGTGTGTAGAGGACTGTCCCTCCGCCCCTGACTGCAGACACCCTCCTCATCCGGACACTATATGTTCCATTTTGCAGCCATGGGCGCTATACTGAATGCATGGTCTTTTGTGGTGGTTTTTCCTTTGTTTTGGCCTGCAATCGACATGCCATTTGTCAGGAGTGTATGGTGGGCATGCTCAATGCCAACCGCCGTGGCAATTGCTCTGCCGAGAATGCTCAGCTCGGTCTTCCATGTGCCCATCCACCTCATCCTTGCAATGTGTGTACTCTCTGTCGTCAAGGACAGACTCATTCTTTAGGCTTTTCTTATCCTCTCCTTTGCCTTCATCTTCATTCCTCACTAAGTTCTTTCCCTTACTTTCCCTTTTTTTCGGTCTTTGTTTATCTTCTCTTCATCTCTCTTCCCTGTTGTGTTTATCACCTCCCTTTTTACTCTTCCTCTTTTTCACAGTGTACAAGTGGGCCGATATGCCACACGGGGATGCGGGCAGCTCGATCTCAACTTCATGCAATCTTTCTTTTTTTTAATTATTAAAAAGGCGAATTGTTTAAGCCCAACCAATTCAATTACCTGTCAAATCTGGACAGGACGGCCTTTCAGGCCTTTTTATTTTTATTATCATTATTATAGCATTACGGGGAACCCCGTAGCAGGACAGAAGGTTAACCGACCCCCAAATTTTCACCCCCATTTATAAGAAAACCAAAGGGCCATTTTAACCATATTTCACACCAATCTATAGAGTGCACTTCTTACTAACTTATTGTTAAAAAAAAAACGAAAAACAATAATTAAAAACATATTAAAAAAAAAACGAAAAACAATAATTAAAAACATATAAAACAGCAAGCCAAAAGTGGGGGTACCTGTTAACCATTTGTGGCGTAGCAGCCACAGCCATGCTCAGGCCTCCAACGAGGGAACATGCGAGAGCTGCACCCACCAGCAGGTGTGATACCTGCTACAGCAGGTGGGCGATATAGTTCATAGTTATGTGACAATATATATATTCAGCCTCGTGATGAGTCGGTGAAACTCTGATGAAACAGTTTGTCACAGCCCCTCGTTCGTTTCCTCTCTTCTCCCTCTCTGCCTACCGGGCGGTTCTGTTTGACGATATGTATACGATATTATTTATTTATTTATTTATTTATTCATTCATAATAATGCACCTGTGTGTGCTGCACTGTGCAGGGCATTTTGCGGATGCAATCTTGAGGGAGATCAACAAAGAGAGACTCACGTCTGCGATGACACCTTTGCAGGGTATGTTTTGCATTTCAGTGGTGGTGTGTGTGCTTGGGGGGGGAGGGAAGGGTGGGGAGGGAAGGGTGGGGAGGGAAGGGTGGGGATTGGTCAAAAGGCCGGGGCACTTGGGGTGGAAATATAGGGGGCAAGCAGTGGGAGTAAGGGTGGTGGGGAGGTGGTGGGAAGGGGTAGGGAAGGGGTAGGGCCAAGGGCATGACAAAGGGGAAGGTGGCAAACAAGGGTGATGGGGGAGGGGGAAGGAGAGAAGGGTTGGGAGAGGCAATGACGAAATGAGGGAACGGGTAAAGGGAGACAGTGGACCCTAAGGGGAGGGGGCAGTCGGGCGAACGTGGGGGTCGATTCCATTCCATTCATTTGTGGATTTTTTTTATTTTTATTTTTCACTTTGTTTGTAAAGTGGGAAAGCCTGGAGGAGGAGCTGATGATTAGGGCATGAAATTCAATTTCTTTTACCATGTATTTTTTGAATATTTAAAAAAAAAAAAATTCTTTTTTCTTTCAGAGTAGAAACATTGGCTGTGAGTCTTCAGTGGGGGGCTGATAGGAGGAGGAGTAGTCCCTCGTTGAAGGCTCACTGCAGTACTTGTTTATCTGTTGTCATGGTTTTTCTTTCTCCTGTGAAAAAGTTAAGTCCTTGCCCCACAAGCTGAACCTACCAGAGTGTAGATGGCACCAGAGTTGGTACCAGATTTGGTACCAGAGTTGGTACCAGAGTTGGTACCAGAGTTTGTTTGTCTCTTCCCAGAAGCTGTATTTGACGCATCTTTCAGTCTAGATGCAGCTAGACTGAAAGAGTTTGTTCGTCTCTTCCCAGAAGCTCCTTCGAAATGACACAGTCCCACCACTGGTGGAGGGAGCCTTCCCAGAATACAGCTTCTGAGAAGAGACGAACAAACTCTTTCAGTCTAGCTGCATCTAGACTGAAAGATGCGTCAAATACAGCTTCTGGGAGGTGATGTACTGGTAGTTGAAAGACGAGTGGTGATGCGGGGGATGCGACTACCTTCTTCCCCCGAATAGAAGGTACGGTCATTATAGCTGTATTTGACGCATCTTTCAGTCTAGATGAAGCTAGAATGACCGTACGTTCTATTCGGGGGAAGACGGGTAGCGGATGAGAGACACATAGGTCTATGTGACAGCACCCCCCCCCCCCCCGAGTACTCATCCCCCAGCCTAATCGCTCATTGCTGCACCACACCAGGCTGGGGGACGAGTACTCGGGAGGGGGTGCTGTCAAACTAAACTAACACCATCCCAGACTCGAAAAATAAACTAACACCATGATCCAGGACTCTCAGTGTGAGCAAAAAAAAAAAAAAAAAAAAAAAATCACCATCAGAGGGCGGCTGGAATCGACCCCAGAACCTCTCTGTGGTAATAATGGCAGTCACTGTGCTCTAATCAACTGAGCTACCAAGCAGAAAACCAACCCAGCCAATTTTGACGGATGTCCTCACGGACTCCTGATTGTCTTGCAAATTTGCACTGCCTTCCCTTGCACTCCCGCCGCCATCTGTTCATTTAAAGAAACTGAAAAAAAAAAAGGCGTGCATGCGTAGCACTTAGCAACATGGGGTACTGTACTACCCTTCTTCCCGCGAATAGAACATACGGTCAATATAGCTGTATTTGACGCTACAGTCTTCCCCCGAATACAATGCACGGTCATTATAGCCGAATTTGGTCCATCTTTCAGTCTAAATTCAGCTATAATGACCGTACGTTGTATTCGGGGGAAGACTGTAGATACAGCTATATTGACCGTACGTTGTATTCGGGGGAAGAAGGTAGTCGCGTTCTTTTCTCTTTTTGCTGCCATTGCCAGTTCCGTTTTTGGCAAATCAAAACACTGTTTGTTTGTTTGTTTGTCGGTGATTTGTTTCAGCCTCCTCGAGCGGAGCATGCTATGCATTGTGCGTTGCGCAGGCGATAGAGGGCAGGCTGTGCTCGATTACGATAATTTCGTCAGCCATTGACTTGATTGCGGACGACTGTATGACCACATGCAGTTTTCCGAACGAGGGAGTTGTTGGGGTAAGTACGGATGTCCGACTTTTAGTTAGGGCATAAGAATAACTGACAGTTTGTTGTTTTCCACGCAAACGGAATGCGAAAGGCTTCTTTGTCCGCGCAAACAGAATGCGAAGGCTCGTTGGGATGACGAAGTTGATTTGGAATTTGCTTCTACTTTCTTTGCGAAGGCTTCACCCTTTGTCAGGAGACATGGATCCTGGTTTTGCGTTTCTAATTGGAATACTGTTCGACTCTATTTTCAAAAGCGTGCGTAATGGATTGTGCTCCTGGGTGAATCCTCCATTTCCATTCTCATCCTTTCAGCTGTTTTCCCGAACAGCTCTTTCAATTTCAATTTCAATTTCAGTTTCAGTTTCAATTTCAATTTCAATTTCAATTATGGGGAGCAGCACGTGCTGGGTACCAGGCCCAAAAGGCAAAAAAAAAAAAAAAAAAAGGTCAATTAGTATTTGATGCAGTCAATCGGCAGGCAGGAATATCTAGTCAACAGACTCAACACACTTAAAACGAAATGATGGGAGCGCCAGCTCAGCTCAAATCAATATCCAAAATTCCAAATGGTATTTTGAAAATAACGAAAAAAAAAACAAAATGAAAGAAGGGACAAAAAAAAAAACGAAATGAAAGAAGAATTCAAGCAATTGTACATCTTACGAAAAGACGGACAGGCCGCAGCCGTCTGATTTTCGTCGCCACTGG